CAGGCATGTGAGATTCAGAAGTGTTTACAAGGTATATTAACAAACACTATGGTGTTTAATGTGTAAATCTAATATTTTGAAAAGCCGTCAACTCAATGTCCACTTGCAGCCAACCGTTACTTGGAGAGCATGTGTCAGGAAGTGATCCGAGAGATGCGACGTTGCTGCGAGACACAGGCCGAAAAATCTCTTTGCTGCTCCGGCTTTAGGGACTCTAAACCTGCGGAGGAGGAGAAGGACAAAACATAACAGAATTGACTGTATCCTGTTTATTTAGCAAACGACCATGCACTTTAAAACAAAAAACCCCACCAAAACGTAACCATTAATACATAACGTGGTAAAACAAGAAGTAGAAAATGCAATGTAAGGTCAGTAAACAAGTTGTTATCTCTAGGTCTTTCCAAATTAGACAAGAATAATTTTTCTAACTTGGGAATATGGTAGCATTTTGGAGGGATGATAAATAATTGAAGAGTCAGATGTGAGTGGACACAATATATGTGATTGGTGGTCGGTGTCATCCAGTCATTGATAACCAAACAACAACAACAAATTCTTTCTCAGCCAGGCTTTTTTTGGGCAATCACTGTGAATTGAACTTATCGATATCCATAAAACATTGCAGGTGAGGTTCATATTGCAATCACTGTGAATTGAACTTATCGATATTGTGTCGTTGGCACGAATGTAGCTGACTTTTAAAGTCAGATATGTCACAGTTTTATTTATAAGCAATGTATGTGTATCAGTTTGTGTGCATGTATGCGTGGTGTATGTAATATTCCATGAGCCTTGAATAAATAAATATTGATGTGTCCAATGTGTTTCTGAGCAAGGTTGTACAATAAGGTAACAGAACCACTGGCACAATAATGCTTGTAACATTAACATTCTCTCCTTAAATCCTGCTTCATATGTTTGGAGCCATAATTGTGGTGTTTTAAATTAAGCTTCTAATTATTCATACCTTCCCTGTTGGGGTCAACACAGGAAAAAAACGTACCTTAGCTTGAAAATTGCTAACACATAGGTTAAGGGTAACTTCACAGCAAAAAAAGAATATATATTAAATGCAGACTTGATAACAAAAAAGGTTCACAACTGACTCTAACGACAAGAAAGCGAGTAATTGTGGCCTGAAGTTTTTTTTTTTCTTTTATGTTAAGAAAACCATATGTTAAACAACGTTTGAATAGACAAAAAAATCATAAAAGTCATTAACGTTTCGCTTAAAATGTGTAATTTTTCCTGAACCGAAATTCTTTAGTTTAGGAGTCGGGTCTTAGAGACGATAGAACATTTGTTTGTGGTGACGCTTGTCGATGACGTACACCGGAAGTGCACTGCTACAATTCTTTCTAGAAAACTGTTAGCGCTCTCTTTCCTACACCCTAGCTAGCGTTTCCTCTTCTCGCGTGGACGTAATTCGCTCAGAACACGAACGGAAATTTCGAGAAAGTTCTCTCCCTGTCCATTTTTATGCTTTTTTGAATCAGACCCTAGGCAAGTTCCGTTTTGCCTACGAACTTAGCCGAGTGTAGTGTTCTTTAACGCCAACACTGATTGTGTAGCAGGCATCATGTCCAGAATAGACTACAGTGTGTGGGACCACATCGAGGTGTCCGACGATGAAGATGACATCCACCCCAACATCGACACACCCAGCCTCTTCAGGTGGAGACATCAGGTACATGCTAAGGACAGACGTCTTTCTAGGGGTTTATATACGTTAGCATTTCGGAGCTTAGCTGTGAGTTGTTCAACCCCTCCATATTCTTACTTGGTGCTGCTTAACTGATAAGCGCATGAAAATGTCCCTTCCTACACTGAACATTTGCAGGATTATGTCACAAAAATCAACAATCAAACAAAAATTATTTTTTAGTATTATGATTATTATGGTCACACTTTCCAGACGAGCTCGTCTGTTTATTATATTCCATGTATCATGTGCAGTCAGTGTGATGGACTTTACAGTTTCGACGTCACAATGAAACAACCCAATAACAAGTGAAATACTGTATAAAGTTATCCCATGTTATATTTAATTTTTATTAATCTGAAAAGTAAATTGTAAGTTTTATTTTGAATTATAGTTTATTTTATACTGTGCATTGTTGAAATGTGCTAAATAAATATTTTAATAATTTAGTGTTGTTTTAAGTCATATTCATAGCCATAAATGCAGTAGTACCTATAATTGGCATAATAATTTCTTTTGGTTTTTGGCCTTGGTTTCCTTATTTTAAGTTTTCGGTTTCGGCTAAGAATTTTAATTTTGGTGTTCCCTAATAATTACTTTTTCAGGATTTCAACCTGCTCACTGTGGTGATGGGTAAAATGCAGAGATCACATTTCGTACTGTAATTCACTTTCACTTTCAATATATATATATTTCAAATATAAATTCTGAGGAAACCGAGGACCCCAGTAATGAAATAACAAAAAAATGTTAAATAATTATCACATAATGCACCATATATAAATTGGTTTAAATTACTTATTGGTGGCTGCTATACATATGGTCAGTAAATGTTGACATAAAGGTATATGTTCTACCTCGTCTTTTTTTTTTTACAAAGCCACGTTTTACCTGAACTTGATTTCTACTCATTCTTTGACTTCAGGCACGAATGGAGCGTATGGAAGACTTCCAGAAAAAGGGCGAAGAACTAAATAAGGGGCTAAGCGACTGTCGACGTAAGCTGGCCGAGGCCCAAAAGAAAGTACAAGAGTTGAAACTTTCGGGAACAGAAGAGACCAAAGCAGAGCTGAGCAAGGCTCACTCCGAGGAGAAGAGGCTGAAAAAGGAGGAGCGGGAGTGGGAGAGGAAGAGGGACGATCACAATCGCGAAGAGAAAAAGATGCCGTGGAATGTGGACACGCTCAGTAAGGACGGCTTCAGCAAGGTGGGTGCCAGATACTTTTGATGCGTTGTGTTTCCTCAGTGAAAAGTCTTTGCCTGGTTTGCCAAATATAAAAGAGTTATACTCTAAGATTACGCAACGCTTTAAATGTATATTTTTATCCCACTGCAGAGCATTGTTAATGTCAAACCGGAATCTCACGAGGAGACTGAAGAAGAGAAAGAGCAGAAGCATAAAACCTTTGTAGAGAAATATGAAAAGCAGATCAAACACTTTGGTAAGATTTTTTTTTTTTTCCCCCCACTTACCTTTACTTAACCATTGAGTCTTGTTCCATCATTCAGACATATTGGCTAGTCTGCACGAGAACTAGATGGTAAAGAAAGTATATATTTTAATCTGTACAAACCACTGTATGAGTGGCTGCCACCTAGTGATCGGAGGAAAAAAAACAACATTTTTGCTAATGTATACGACAAATATTTGAATGAAGTATCTGGACACTTATGTCCAGCATTCCGTATTTTATTGGAAGCCCCACGCTGGCACCCAAAAACAACAACATTTTTGCTAATGTGTACGACAAATATTTGAATGAAGTATCTGTCCTAATAATGACACCTGTATTGTTATTGTTGCATTCCTATTTAGTATTCCAAAACAAATTAAATTAACATTGATGACCAGACCTTAAGACTTTTTTTTTACCCTTTCCCTTGATGGTTGAACCAGACAAACAGAGGAAAATAAAATGGTGACATTACATAATAACTGTCTTACTCACAGGAATGCTGCGACGTTGGGATGACAGCCAGAAGTACCTGTCGGAAAATCCTGATCTAGTTTGTGAAGAAACTGCAAATTATCTCGTCATCATGTGCATTGACCTTGAAGTGGAGGAGGTAAGTAATGATCCTGTAAAAAAGGGTGTTTGCTGGTAACTTTTTGCTAATGTTCAATACGACGATTTTGTCCAAACACCGATTCCGATACATGCAGCCGTTTTCCCCCTAAAACTGAAGTAAACGTCTCTTGACCCCACGTGTGACTCTAGCATATTTGGCAAAACCCAGGGTTTTCATTATCGGAGGAAAAACCGATAAGGATTTTCTTATAGATATAACACAATTATGCTAACATCATGTCGATAATATCGATCGGCCAGTATTATCGGACATCCCTAGCTTAATGTTATTAAGGTGGAGCAAATGACTTCACTTCACTTGCATTTGACTTTGTGATATTCAGCCTTAGCGTCAGAAATAATACTCTCTGTGAACCGCAAATATATCCTGGCATTGTCGAAATATTAGTTGTCGTGTAAACGTGGAAGGACACATTTGTTAGCTGCATTTTCAGGAGTAATTTGAACGAGGTTTTTAATGTAGCTTTTAAGGTCCAGGATAAAATGCGTTAATGGTTGAACAGTCAGTGGACCTCGTTAGCTCCCTGAAATGCTCTCCGGATTTAACCAACTCGGGCAAATTAAGGAAAGTAGAAATTATGAGCCAGCATTTTGAAAAATAAATGGACCGCTGAAGCACTCAGGAAAAAGACGTTGATTGTGGCTGGTGGTCGGGTTTTTTTAAGACACTGTAACATCTGTTGCACAAGCTTTAAAACACAAGAGAAAAATAGTAGATTTTAGAATTAAACCCCAAAAAAAAAAACACAAGAATTTGACTCAGGACTGTTTTCTTTATTTTGTCTGTGAAAATTCTTTCTTGGTTTTCTAGAAACATGCATTGATGGATCAAGTGGCTCATCAGACCATTGTCATGCAGTTCATTCTGGAGTTGGCTAAAAGCCTTAAGGTGGATCCTCGCGGGTGCTTCCGTCAGTTTTTCGCCAAGATTAAGGTGAGTTAGGTGACTTGAATGCAACGATATGAACGTCGTACCGCTAAACCCAGGCGTTGTTTTATGATTTGTATCTTTATGGTATTAATAACTAATACCGAAAAATGTCTCATTCACCTAAACCAGTGCTTCTCAAATAGTGGGGCACGGTGAGGTGTCACGTGGGTGGGTGAGGGGTGGTCGGGGTAGGAGACGTTAAATACTGTATACTGTCTTTATTCATGCTTGAACCATAAACACGGCTTTAGTCACTAGATGGCAGCAGAGCAGGCTTTATCGACCTCAACTTTCATAATCAGTGGATTGTATACAGAATGCTGGTGCCAGCAACACAAAATATGGTTTGTACAGATAAATAAAAAAAATATATTACAAGGCGCTTGTTTAAATGAAGCGAGAAATGAATATGAAACACAGTGGTCTGTTGCTTCTTACATTAAGCTTCTTACATTAATATATATGCACACATATATTTATATTTATATAAAATAACATGTGTCGACTTCTGCCTCTGAATTAAACCAAAAAGCTTAATGTAAGCTTCTTACGTTAATATATATACACACACATATATTTATATTTATATAAAATGTATTCTTGTGGTTCCATACAGACGGCAGATCAACAGTACCAGGATGCTTTCAACGACGAGCTGGAGTCATTTAAGGAGCGGGTTCGCGGCAGGGCAAAGATCCGCATAGAAAAGGCCATGAAGGAGTACGAGGAAGAAGAAAAAGAGAAACGCATGGGACCAGGCGGCCTCGATCCTGTGGAAGTTTATGAGTCTCTGCCAGCAGTATGTGCTTTCTGGTCTAAAAGCTTTTTACACTCAAAATGTTGTTGTGTATGTTTGTAAAAATAAAAACCTCTTGTGTTGCATGTGTTCTTTCGCAGGAGATGCAGAAATGCTTTGATGAAAAGGACATTCAGATGTTGCAGGATGTCATCAGCAAAATGGACCCTACCGTGAGTTTGAATGATAAAAATAGGCAGCGGCTTTGATATTGCTGATTTAAAATATTTACACCATAATATACACCAAATAAAAAGAAGACAGCTGCAGGCTTCAGTACATGGGTTAGAGCAGGCATGGGCAAACTAAGGCCCCGGGGCTGGATGTGGCCCGTTCAGCTTTTTAATCCGGCCCGCTAAACATTTCCAAATTAAATATTTTTTTTTTATTGTCATTATACTTCTGCTTCATTTTTCCCTGCAATACCCACGTTTCCCCAGCAGATGGCGGAGAAAATGATAAAAGCTTTTTGGCATTTTAGCCTCCATGGATGACTTTTACATGTCATTTATCTTAGTTTACATGAACGCTCCATCTATCTAAAAAATGTCTATTATTGATAAAAAAATACTAATAATTTTTTTTCAAATAATGCTTATTTTTAAAATCATGATTAAAATCATCACTCACACCGAATGACGTACATGATCAAAAACCAATTCGAGAAATTCTGGGGTCACCAGAAATGTATTTGTTCTGGATACTTTACACTTGTAAATAAAGTTTGTTTAGTATTCATTATTTCAAATAACCAAACGATCTCTATCAAACCAAATAATCCACATTTTCCACCAATAACATTAGTGTTTTCCACAGATGTCTGTGCTAGCAGGCCTAATATAAAAAAAAAAAACAGTTAGCTTTATTCAACTAATTCAATCTGTACCAACACAAAAGCTATCTTGTTTTGTAATAATAAATAAAGATGTCAATAAAATCCTCAAAGAACAGCGTAAATCCCACAACAAATGTGTTCCTGTAATTTATTCACTGTAATTTAATTTTTACATGTCTCGTGTCGATCAATCTCATAATCTTTAACTATGACCAGTAATCTGTCATGGGTTAGGCTTTAGATATGTTTGTTTTTTTTTGTTCTGAATGTGTTCGTTTGTACCCTTTAAAGGAAGCGAAGGCTCACATGAAGAGATGCATCGACTCAGGACTGTGGGTGCCCAACTCCAAGACCGACGACGGTGATGAAAAAGACGAAGAAGGCACCTACGAGGAGGTGAAAGCGGAGCAGGAAGAAGCCAAGAAAGAGTAGCCATCGCTGACTAGCATTTTTGTCACTTGTTCGAGTGTGCTTACCCACTGTATTACAATTTAGTTATTGGTATGGATTAGCTTGTCAATGGATGAAGAAAAAAGTAATTTTTCTGAACGTTTTTCGCCGAGACTTAGGGGATTAGAGCTGCACTCTATAGCTACATCAAATCAGTAAAATGTTGCTTGGAAAAAATAAATAAATAAACGTCTGCTTGTGGTTAGAACTTCTGTGTGTTCAGGCATCACTCAAGTTTAATATCATTTCTACAGTTTATGCAACACTGATATCTTTCTGTGTCAGCTTTTTTTTTATTTTTTCACCCACTATCTTTTTGTTGTTGTTGTTGTCTTGTGTTTTTAGAAGACAGGATTTCTAGCTGTTTAGGTTTAATTTTTGACTTTTAAGTGTTTCGCTGCAATAAATCCCAATAAAGTAAACCTTGCGACTGTGTAATCAGATCACCAGAAAACCCCCAGACTACCAGATTATTTTTGTCTTTGTAATTTCAAGTTTACTTAATTGAAGTAACGTTTGATTCAACATTCATTCATTTAATTTTCTTCGGCAGTGCATTACACACTTATATAAAAATATAGGGTACAACTCTTTATATATATTACGTATATTTTGTCTTTTCTTTAGGTCTGTGAAATTCCAGCAGGTGTCAGTATTCACACTTAAAATATATGGTACAACTCATAAATATTTAGTCTTTTCTTTAGTTCTGTGAAATTCCAGCAGGTGTCAGTATTTTTGTGTCATGTCCGGTAGTAAGCTTTTAGCCTTTAAGCTAAAGGTTGATATCATTTCTTTCAAGCTTTTGTCATTTTCTACGCCATCTATCTGAGAAACTTGGGTATTGCAGGGAAAAGGCAGAAGTATAACGAAAATATAAATAAATTATATAATTTGGAAAAGTTTGGTGGGCCCGATTAAAAGGGCTGAACGGGCCACATCCGGCCCCCGGGCCTTAGTTTTTTTTCATGACATTTTTAAAAACCTATTGCAATTAAAAGCGTGGTTTCCGATGATGGACTTATCACTGCTCTTGGTTTAATAGTATTACACAAAATTTACGTCTATACCAATTTTATTATAGTTTAGATTGGGTTCATTTCCGATTAACTATAGTAAAAGAAACCGCACTGCAGCCTCGGGGTTGGAGTAAAGTTGGATGGTGAACAGACAGTTTGGGCTCTGTTGTCCTTGTGATTTTAAACCAATAAATATAAATAAATAACAATAAATTAAAGTGATTTTAATTTAAATTAATTAACCCATCAATTAATCAAGAAAACAACAGTACACTCTCTTTAACTTAAGTAAAGACTACTAGATGTTCTGCCACTTCCGGGTAAGGTAGCGTGTACAGTCTGCGTGGATTTACTCAAATTATTCTGGTTTCCTCCTACAGTTCAAAAACAGGCGGGTTTGGGTTAACTCTTTACTCGAAATTTCGCATGGATACACATTTGAGTGTGGTAGTTTCTCTCTGCTATTATGAGTAGCGCCACGTGTCCAGCTGTAAAAACATGGACCTTCCACTAAGTAAATCACGTCTCCTCACGGAACTCTTATTTTGAAATCGAAAAGCCCTGTCCTTGCAGTAGGCGTGGGTAATTTCCCGAAGCTGTAATAGCAGTGACAGTGGTCGAACGGTCTTTGCACTAAATTCACACGAATCTCGAGAAAGGGGGGCACCTCGCAGTGGGGAATACTGTGAATGGGGAGGATAATGAAGACGGTCGGGATTTAGCTGAAGTATCTACGTCAAGCTCACAGGTACTGTTTGTCTTGTGCAGTTGTATTTTACCACACACGTCGTCGTATGAGTATATGCTCATAAACGTACTTCCTTGTAAAGTGATACATATTCTTGCGGAAACAAGTTTGGGGTTTTCTCGTTGCCGTCTTCGCTGTCTGTTTATATCTGTGTTATAGATTTTTCTTTCGTGGACACGCGTCGTTCCCATGTAATGTACAACGAGGTAAATAGCAACACGGTAAACAGCAATTATCGTAGGGGCGGTTATCGGAAGGCCTATTGACAGGATACCCCACGATACAGTATCATATGTAATACAATAAACATCACGATACTTCAGAGTGAGAATAAATTGATTGTGAATGATGACATATGACATATTTTAATACTCAAATAAAAAAAATATAACCACGGTTATGTATATTCGTGTATACAAAATAAATCAAAACACATTATAAATATCATAAATATCGCAAAATCTCACAGAAAACGGAAATATAAACGACCCCGAACTAACCAAAAAAAAAAAAAATTAAATAAAAGAAAAACCAAAGAAGTTTATTAATAATATATGTGCATAATTAATAAATGGTACACCTAGTTTCAAACATCCTGTCATCATCTCTACCCATTGGTCAAGAACTAAAATGCCTTTTTATCATTTTCATGTTGAGACC